AGAATGCCCATCTGATCATTGATTCGAAAGCTACTCAACTTGTTCTACTTTTTCTAGTTGTTATTAGGCGAAGATTCAATTTGGGGATGGGATAAGTAACGTTGTATAAGATTTTCTTTCCATAAGTAGACAGTATACTTGATTTATAAATGATAAGATTTGAATCTACTTTCAGTAATGTTGTCACGTTTTAATTCATCAACCAAAAGACCTTGTAGCTAGAACTAGCTTATCTATTTTAAATTCTTTCATTATGAAGTCACATCAACATGAATTTATCCTAAATCTCATGTTTTAATGACATCATTATGTGTTTTTCATTGGTTCGCGTGTACCTATATCAGCCAATACTTACGCGACGATTTTCGCAATTAACATCATCAGGAATTGTCACAGTTACTGTTCGAATTCGAAAATTCTAGATATCTGGGAATAACGTTTCCCCTCCTTTGGTTATCTGGGAATATTTTGGTGATATATCTTCATATAACCTTGTGAAGGTAAAATATATAGAAATTCTATCGGTTTGTAGATCGATATCAACTTCATGACAAGATCACTGAAGTTTACATAAGCATTTTAACCCCACTTATCCTGTCGAAAAACATGAACTTAGCGGATTGTCATTGTCGAATATATATTTCTGGTCATATTTTCTGAACAATGTTGCTTTCGGTCACATGAGTATGGAATTTTCATGCAGCGCACAATGCACCATTCACATTTGAGGATAACGATAGATTCACATTTTCTGCAATATCCCATTGTCCATGTGCACAGAGAACGACAACACATCTCTGTTAAATGATAGAGCTATTTACATGAGGAAACTAGCGATAAATGATTCAAGTAAGCTTTATGCTGCACAGGCTATTTAGCGCTTGTTTTTTTTCAAATTTTATGAGAGCTAATCAACTAGGTTTAATCCAACATAACGAAGTGGTGGAATCAAGCTAAGTCTATCCAATCAATCTGCACTAAAGGAAGTGCGACAAAAGCGTAAGGTTTAATTTTATTGGCAAAATGAGAACATAATCTTATCGTAGGGTAAGGTTTAATTTTATTGGCAAAATGAGAACATAATCTTACTTGAAAAATACATCTTAAAGACTATATTACTTTCACATAACCATGCAAATTGGCATTTGCTTGTATCCATAAACTAACTGAGATTGCACGTCCTAGTACATGCGGTCCAATACGAGAACTAAGAATTTTCATATTTTTCTTCCTCTTTTTGCATTCAATTGGACAAATGAACGAAGATAAAGTACAATATGAGAATAATCCGTACGAGTCTCCCGTACTAATTGCATATATCATTGAAAAGATATGAACTTTCATGTATCCTAACTTGTACAAGAGTTTGCAAGTTGGTGGCAGAACAAAATCAGCAGGCTGTACGGGGACGCAATGGTACATACATCACTGAGAATAAAATCTTTTTTTTTTTTTTTGCCATCGAAATCGATCAACAAAGGAATAGCTTCTCAAAACCACCTCATTCACAACTTTTGCTTTTGCGTTTTCTGATCTGAGTTGATGGGTATCTTTAAAAGCAAGAGTACAGCTAGAACCAGAGTCAGCAGTTTCTGATGTTGACAGGAATAAGATCCTTTAGATTACTAAGATTGGTATTCTCCCTCTCTTATCTGCATCATGCCATCATATGATCTGAGATGAGGCGAAAAGACCTCGAAATCTTTCCTTTTTTTTAATTATACTTTTTTTTATGTCCTTTTCTTATCAGTATCAGCAAGTTGACATTCCTAACTGCAATTTGAGAAGTGCAGATATGTTCGAGTTGAGTCTGTTCTTTTTTGCACATTGATTCCTGTAGGCTTAGTTCAGAATTTATGTACCTGTTGGTGTACTAGAAATTGCAAATGGCATGAAGAAAGAAACAAGTCAGTAAATGTTTAGGGAGTCTTTTTTATCAGATAAAATTCTACAGTATCTGCTAGGGGAAGCACATAATCAAACTTGGAGGAATTGTTTTTATTTATCATGATATCAAACTAATTATCTAAGAAAGCTTTTATATTCTGCACAATCAACTGGTGAAGGGCATAACATTTGTAATCATTATATTCATTAAGAGGATATTATTACAAGTGAGGAGAAGAAATATTATAGTGGTAAATTGATGTATAAAATGCTATCGGTTCCACATTGGGACAGAAACTGATAAACTTCATGTGTCGGTTATCTGTATATCACTGAGCAGGTTTCATTACATTCCTCATCTAATATTTAGTCCTACTCGATGTCTCGATTTATATTTGCATGATTACATCCGCGGGATGGTTAACGATTCATATTCAAGACCATTAACCAAAGTTGTCTTCGTAAATAGACGTGGTTAATTTGTGTAATGACCCACCCTATTTCTTCTCTGACAACATGAACTCTCCATATAAGTTGAGATCAAACTCAGAAAGAAACAATTAATTTACTCTTATGGGCTGTCTCATATGGCAGCACATACGCTATGAGGAGCATGTGCTCAAGAATATTTCGGTACGTCTATGTGTGAAGGGGTACTACTATAGTACTACCCTTTGGATTGTTGAGGAGCTATTTGTCATTGAAATGTTCCTATGTCTATCAAAAGGTTGAGAACCTGAGAGTATGGCTCATAGAAGAGCACATGATATGCTAATGAATAATCTGGAATTTTCAAGAAGGAATACAATGTACTGGAGAAGAATCTGGAAATCAAATTTTGGAGATTAGCTAAGGTAGTAATATTTCAGGCATATATCATGGAATAAAGTTGCAGCTCCAGTTGCAAGAAAGAGAAAAGATAACAAAGCAATTCCATATCAATACATAATCCCAGTTTTGGGATTTTCTCAGAAACTAATTTGAAGATAATACTGCGTCTCACATGGCTCTGAAGGAGTATGACTTTTGAGGTTAGCATATAAATTTATCCCCTCATTTGTGACCCCCAAAACGAGAGTAGATTTACAATGCTAATTATTAATTGGGGTTTTCTGCATATAAGTGCTTAAAACTTTTCCTAAGAATAAATTTATAGTTATTTTTACAGATGAAGTTGATCCTCTTGTTTCATGAACATGTACATTGTAAAGTATATGTCCTGTTTGAAGTGAAAAAGGACATATAATGGAAAGATAAAGTCGATCAATTTAATCAGAATGAGAATCTTCCTATTTCTATCTAAAATGTGAGAATGCCATGTTGTCACTCAAATATCAATACCAATTTTTTCAAAAAATATCACTATCAATTTATATTCGGATTGGTATGCATTTAAGGTTAAGAAACTATGATTGGTCGTCTAAAGGTGGGTTCATGCACGTCAATGTCTTCTTCTTATCGTTTTATTTTCTCAATATTTGTATCTTTAACGATTTGTTATGACAAACAATTTATATCATATAAACCTCATGCATCATTCAATTTTCTAGAGAACATGCAAAAAGTTTTATGCCTATTCCAGGCTTCTTAACTGCCTGCCTGAAAATTTTTGCGAAAATTTCAAACAAAGCAGTACTATTTGTAGGTTTTTGTTAGAGGTGCCTCTTCTCTACAAGCAAAATAAAAATATATGCCTTGAATCATACAGTCATGGGTAAAATGAAGCCCATATCAGAATGCTGCAGGTTTCCAATGAGAATAAGAGATATGATTTTTAAATTGCCCTAAGTAGAGACCAAATATTCCCTTTTGCATGGGGCCAGGCATGAGTCAGTTCTCATGAATGTTCAAGAACCACTTTACCTCTTTAGCCCCAAGTGGCATACTTACATAGGTGTTCATATTTATCACCAAAAAGAGAATATTTTATCCAGATCCAAATATGGCAAAGGGAAAAAAAAGGAGATAGATTCAGACCTTATCTTAAAGGATAAGGGCCTTCTTCAATCTTTGTCAATATCAAATATTCTTTGCCAAAAGCACATGAATTTAGAGCCTAAATTCCAACAAAACTAATAGTGCTGGTTGACAAAGTGCACAACGTACAGAATCCTTGGGTCACCCTCAATGAAGTCATCAGCAGGGTATTTTAGACATGGATAAAGATTCTTTTGCTGTTGTTAGATAGTATAGAGACCACTTCTTCTATCGTAGCCGTCTATCATTTACTAGACTATTATGATGTCTCTTGATCGAAAACTAGAAATGAGCACAATCCAAAAAAAATGTGTAAAGCTAATTATATTGAAAGAAATCACAACCATTTAGAATTACGGAACGTATCGTGATCAAGAAAGTGATCTCTCCTCTGTGAGCGTTCAAACATAGAACCATATACATATATGAATTTTGTTAAGTATAGAAGGCCCACGAAGGGAGGTAAACTGGCGTAATCTATTTGGGCCCAATTGCCTAAAAGTATTAACTCTCATTCAGTCATGAGTGCAATCATATTTAACTGTATACGCGTCTGGTTATTTTTCCAATATGCGAGTATATCTCATTCCATGATTTTACTAAACGATAACAGACATTGGACTGAATGAATGTGAAACCCTCCAGATATATTTTCTAATAGCATGCCCTTTCTAATTATCTCCACTTAAAAAATAAGAAGCCAACACAAAAAAGCAACACCAATACTAACACCACACCTGCCTTTAAATACCAACACTAACACCACACCTGCCTATAAATACCAACCCTTGTGTAACTCAAGTTCCACACAACTCAAGTCTTCCTCAGACACAACAGCAGCAAAAACCATCTTTCCCTCTTCGTCAACCTCCACTTCAAATTTCAAACCATGGATAGAGTAATGAGGCTTGCTTCTCAAAGGGCAGTAGTGATCTTCAGCACGAGCTCGTGCTGCATGTGTCACACTATCAAAACTCTCTTCTCTGAGCTTGGAGTGAACCCTGCAATCTATGAGCTTGATGAAGAGCCAATGGGGAGAGAAATGGAGAAAGCACTTATCAAGCTTCTAGGTCGAAAACCGCCAGTGCCAGCTGTGTTTATTGGTGGGAAGCTGATCGGATCGACAGACAAGATTATGTCCCTCCATCTTGGAGGCAATCTTGTCCCTCTATTGCGCTCTGCTGGTGCTCTTTGGCTCTGATACCATGATAAATGTTCTGAAACCAGTAGATGGTATTATATTGTGCTTTTTGTTATATTACCAGCACAATAGTGAGAAAAAAATATTAGAATGGCTTAACTGTTTTTCGGTATGCTGCTTCCTTTACTTATGTTTGTAAGCTTGTAACTTGGAAATGTTAAGTTAAGAGCTTATATTGAAACATAGTTTACTGAAGAAAATGATTTGAGTATATTGGTAGAATTTTTCATTAGTGCCATGGGGAATAAGAGGGAAAATATAAGCTTTCTGAACTCTGATTTATAGTGAAGGTTAGGATTTTTTTTTTCTGAGTGGATTTTGGGTGGTGATCTCAGTTCTTTTTATGTAATATATGGTAAAATCTGAATCAAGAGCTACATTTGGACATGCAAAATGCTGAGCAAGTGCATGAAACTGATACCATGATAACTGAACCTTAGAAATTTACAAATATAAAGACAAGACTGCACTTGATAGGAAACATAGAAGTTTAATTAAATATGCAGATATACATGCCTTAATACTATTAGTTCTCAGTATTGAGGATATATGACTTAGGATTTTTGCATTCTGATTTGAAGTTTTAAGTTAAAGGTATAATATGAGAAACGTTATAAGTCATGGTGAAATTAGTGTGTTTGTGCTTTACTTCAGATGAAAATCTAATGAAAATATACGCTGCATTTGTTGCATCAACATCTATTGTAGAAATTAAGTTTCAAATCCACTAATATTTAGTTTTCTTTTTACATTTTTTAACATTCTCAATTTGAAATTTGAAATAGATATTTCTTGATTCTTAAATTCAAATGTGGAATTGTTAATAAAACTGAGCATATATATTACTGGAAATGTAAGCTATTAGATGATCAAGGTGACTTTTACCTAAACGGAGGTTTTGTCAAACCTGACAGAAACTAGCACAATTCTTCAGAGAAAAAAAGGTTTTTTTTTTTCAGTTCTTATTATTTTCGTGGGAGATTGTACTTTTCAAAAAAAAATAAATAAATAAAACCGAGATGAATAATATGATTATCTGTCATACGATCTTGCCCTCTATCAAATTCTCTGAAATTGTCCAACCAAAAAAAAAAAACAGAATTGAGAGGAGACTTAAAGGAATTTTTCTTTTTATTGCTCTTGTATTCTTCCATATCCAGACTGGATCAAAAGGTATCATGTTTATGCATATTATCTCGCTCTCTCTAGCTCTCTCGTTCTCTCTCCATCAAGAATTGTTAGGACCATATCCGTGCAATTGGCTTTGTTCAATGCATAATAAATATTCATACTGGTGTAATATATATTTGAAATGTTTTATATAGGTTATAAGAAGTTAGAATCAAGTTCCATATTGAAAAGAACGAGGCGACAAGTTAATCACAGTTAATTCTGTAAAAATCTCAAGAGTGAAAATCATTTTTGAGCATATGGAAGTGTTCTTTTCGTTGTCACAAATCCAAGGAACAAATGGAACTTAATTCAGAGATGTATAGTTTAAGATATGAATATTTTAGTTAAACTACATTAAAATAGTCAGCAGCATGGTTGAAACATACACCGAGGCTAAAAATTACACTGGACATAACTTTTGACTCCTTTATCCAAGTGACTATTATAATAGCTTTTCGATAAGCTCTCTATCTGATCTATTTAATCATCGGTGGTAGGTTGAGGTCGATGGTCTATAATGATTCATCGATGGTATAAGTTATACATTAGTATTTTCTCAAGAGTTGAACAGTAACTATCAACGAACAGTGCCAGATTTGTGATTTAATTTTTTTGGACTCAAATTTAGTCGTTCAAGAGGAAGAGAGAGCTAGGTTTCAAGTGGGTGAGAGAATATTGTTCAAACTTTTTAGAAAATACTCTCAACGCATTCTTCATCATCTGATCGTCAACCTTTGAGGAGAATTGCTCACAATAAATATTTTGGAAAATGATATTAATAAAAACCGGGCTATAAGATCTTTTATCTATTGTTCTTAATTGTTATTTTTTTATTAGTGTAAACTTATTTTTACGGCATACTCAAGCTAGTGTGAATCGAGGGTCTACAGCATACTCAAGCCGAATGAATTGAGAAATTGGGTCTAGCAAGGTATAGGTGTTACTCGCTGTGGATAGTGGATATAAAATTATTATTCGAACCATTATAAAAATTTCGTGTGTTCCTTAGTTGGTTTTTGGTTTGGCTATTTACTTTTATTTTTCTATTTCGATGCAGATTTTGTGCTTTAGGGAAAAAAAGACTATGACAAACTTATTCAAATCACCATTTCCCTCTCCCGGCTTGTATCTCAAGTCCAACAAGAATATCTATGTCAATGAATGGCAAAGCAATTTTTTCAAAATTCTTCTCTCAGAAATATTTACTTAAGATTAATTACCAAATTCATAGAAACCATCATCCAACAAAAAAATTATCTGTGCAAATTTCATGTTGTGATATTTGCATCTTTAGAGTTTTACACTTCAATATTGGAAATAAAATCTCACTAGAAATTTCTATCTATCTATCTGTTGATGTCCTGAGACCCAACATCGAGATTAGCGGATAATCCTGAGTTTAGCAATGGGGCTTAAGGTCTATATGAGTGATGTGGGTTCTCTCATCTCTTTTTGATGACCGGTCCCCTGTATGTATAAGAGAGTTGCACAATAACACTCGTTAGACAATCGGAGTTGGGTTCTCTAATGGTTCCTCTGACGGTCAAGTCAGTATTTGAGTGAAGAAGATACCAATGAACTAAAAATAATTCTATGTATGCAGAAGTCGCATATCTGTGGATAGGGCTGGTAAACGATCGAATCGGAGCGAATACCTTACTATTCGAATTCAATTCGAATTCAACCCAAATCCATATGTTCGAATTCATGTGTGTCTAAAGTGTAGACCCAAAGTTGAAGCCGAAGCTGGAATCAAGAAGACGAAGAAAAAATATTAAGAAAACAGGAGGAGGCCTGCAAGGTCGACCGTGAACGTGCACAGAGCTGGGTAGATCCTGGAGCTGAAGGCGGTCGACCGCACAAACCCCTGTAATGGATTTTGGTCTCGGGTTTTGGTTCGATCGACCACCGCGGTCGACCGTGGATACCCTGTAGGATTTTTTGGGCTCTGTCGTTTGATACGGTCGACCGCCATGGTCAACCACGATACATGTGCGGTCGACCGTCACGGTCGACCGCGACGCAGTCAGCCAGTTTTCTTATCTGTTTTGGATTCTGTTTCTTCCATGACTCTATATATACCTAAACGTTTTTAGGGCTTGAAAGAACACAAAAAGAGAGCTTTTTGACTGTAGAAAAGAGAGAGAATCTCAGAGAGATAAAACCCTAGTTTGAGAGCTTGTATTTCTTCTTTAATTAATAAAAGAATTGTGTGGTGTGGCTCCCGAGAACGTAGGCACGTTTGCCGAACCTCGTTAAATCTGGCGTGTTCATCTCCTTTACTCTTTTACAAGTTTTGATCTAATTTGTGGTGAATTTCCTACTTTCCTATTTTCAACATAAGGTCCGAAAGGGCAAGGGTTCGATTAATTATTTCGAATCCCTAACAACTGGTATCAGAACTTCGTTTAGCAATTTGTGTGAAAGTCATGGCAGAGGAAAACAAATCAAAGATCGAGAAGTTTGACGGTTCAGACTTTACCTACTGGAAGTCATGGATGGAGGATTATCTGTACCAGAAGGACTTGTATCGCCCATTGATGGGTAAGGAGAAAGGACAGAAGAAAGAGGAGTCAGATGGTGATTGGGAGATACTGGATAGGAAGGCTCTAGGGCAAATCCGGTTGTCGCTCGCCAAATCAGTACCCACAACATATTAAAGGAGAAGATAACGGTGGGGCTTATGGAAGCGCTAGCGAAGATGTACGAGCAACCGTCGGCAGCAAACAAGGTACATCTCATCAAAACTTTTTTCAACCTCAAGATGGCAGAAGGACGGTCCTTCACGATGCACCTCAATGAGTTCAACATGATTATTGATCAGCTTATCTCCGTAGACATCACGTTTGATGACGAAGTACAGACCCTATTGTTACTATCGCAGTTGCTGGATAGTTGGGCAGGTTATGTGACGACAATCAGTAATTCAAGCAAAAGTTGAAGCTGAGTGAGGTGGTTAGCATGATTCTATCCGAGGAGGTTAGAAGAAAATCGTCCAAATCAGAAGGTTCAGGTTCAGCTCTAAGTTTCAAGGAGAGAGGCAGAAGCCAGAAGAAAAAAAACCAAAACAGGAATCGCTCGAAATTAGTAAAGAAGAGGTTGAACTCAAAGGTTAGGTCTATCAAAGAGAAGTGTTAGAACTGTGGCCAGGAGGGCCATATGTCTTCAGTCTGCAAGAGTCCAAAGAAGGATGCGGGTGAGCAGCAGGCTCATATCGTGCAGGATGCCTTGATTCTTGCTATGAATAGTGACTCGGATTCTTAGGTCATTGACCCAGGAGCCTCTTTTCACGCTATTGCTAACAGGAAGCTTCTTCAAAATTATGTAGCAGGAGACTTTGGAAAAGTGTATTTGGTGAATAACGAGCCATGTAATATTATTGGAAATAGTGAAGTGCAGATTCAGATGAAGGGCTCTAAGTGGACCTTAAAGAACGTGAGACACATGTCGAAGCTGAAGAGGTATCTTGTTTCAGTAGGACAGCTTAGAGCAGAAGGCTATGTTTCGATATTCACAAGGGATTCGTGGAGAATCTCTAACGGGACGGATAGTTGCTCGAGGTAACAAACTTGGGACTCTCTACCTCACCTTACATGTGAGTGACATCCTCGCAATTGCAGCTGGCAAAGAGTGTACAGATCTGTGGTACAACAGGCTAGGGCACATGAGCGAGAATGGGATGAAGATCTTACATTCACAGGGAAAACTGACCGGAATTGACTCCGTAGAAGTCAGGTTTTGTGAAGACTACATCTTTGGAAAGCAGAAAAGGGTTAGTTTTCATAAGGGTGGAAGGCCACCTAAGGCTCAGAAGCTAGAGTTGATTCATACAGATGTATGGGGTCCAACCAGTATATCTTCTTTTGGCGGTTCGAGATATTATGTCACCTTCATCGACGATCACTCGAGGAAGGTGTGGGTCTACTTCATGAAGTACAAGTCAGAGGTGTTCGGAGTCCTCAA